TGCATATATAGACACAAATTTGAAATTTATAACCCAATAATGAAGGGGAAAAGAGAGAGAAATAAGCACACTTGAGTATTAGGCGCAGAGAACAAAGAAAGAGGAGACAGAGTTCAAGGTCGTACCAGACAACATTTGTGCGTCAAGTGCGGCGTCGCCGGCGAAGAGCCGCACCGCCGCTGTGGATAGATCCTTTAGATTCGGTACGCCCGCGAGGTTTTCGACGGAGGGGCACTCGGAACTGTCCTCGGTTCGCGGAGATCCAGAGAAGGAGGCGCTGGTTGAGGTCGCGGGCTAGGGCTTCGAAGAGGCGGAGGCGGTCTCCGCCTACACTTATGGAGGGCATGGTGGAAGAGAAATTTCATCGACAGCGTTTTGGAGAAAAAAAAATGAATGTATTGGTTTGGTTTTGGTTTGGGGTATGGAGTAAAAAGAACCATATCTATCCTGTTTTGTGCTGAAATCGTGGTGGGATGTGACTGCTTGCGTGTGCGGGAAATCCGCATAAAAGAAGAAAAAAACAGAACCATTCAATCAACACGCATCAGGTGGCAATAAGTGTAAAAAAACAACAAATTTAGGGGTTGTTATAATTATTGAACACATGACACGTGTCGCCCATAGAAGCATTCAAAATGGGACACGTGTCAGCCATAGAAGTGGACTAACTCTCCCTTATAAGATATAAGAGACTAGATTTGGTGACGCCGTGCACGCACGGCGGTCTAACACTCCGTGTAAAAGTACAATAAAAATTTGTCCTAAGTTGTTGTTTGCGTGCGAGCAGTATATACCTGGAAATTTGTCCAGGTATGTACCTGGACAAATTTCCTTTCTCTTCTTTCAATAGAGGAGTCACTTGTTATTACTATTATCTCTTCAATACATGTAAGGCAACAACAAAAGGCCTTCTTTGATCGACACCTGTCATTTTCAGCCCAAAAATGCCTTTAGTTTTGCCCTGGATTTACAAGCCTGCTACTGTGCTTTATGCATAGTGGGAGAAAGTACGTTTCTGACGTTGTATACCAGGCACCAGAAATTTTGTTGAGACAGAAATTGTACGCCATATCTTTGTGATCCTTTCACCCTAATATACTTAGAAGCATAACATTTGGGCCCTTTCACCCTTTTTCAGCTTCGGCACCATAAATGGAAGCAATGCCTGCATAAACCATTACACTATGATCAATGGACAAAATATATTGCTCTGATTTTAAGGTTTACCATTTTTTAACATTAAGAAATCAAATACACTGAATCTAAACAAAATAAGAACTATGGTTCGTTTCAACAAACACATCGAGTGCTTGGAAGAAGACTGCCCAACCGCCTTACAAATACACGACTAAAGCTTTCAAAGATCTCCCTTATCCCACAACAAGTTGAGTTTAACTCAGTAATGATTTTATCAATACTTTCTTCCCCTAAAAACCAACAAGATGCAGAATTTAGAGTGTAAACCTTTTTTTATTACTTCTTCTAGAGACAAAGATAACAATGAAATATAACAATACCTCAACAATTGGGAAGTAAACACATGTCAGTCTGTCATTTGCTTCTAGAAGCACTCTTTGACCTGGAGATTTCAAAGAAAATGTTAGAGCTCGTCTTACACAAATGAATTACAGCCAGTTTGGTGATCATACAAGACATCCTTACAAAGAAGAGAAAAGCATCACAATTATTTCTAAGGTAACAAAATAATGGGCTTACTTTGACCATGCAGTAGAGAAGGATCCTGGCTATTGCTAAAATGAAGTTGCAACACAAAGTTTGGACCATTGCACAAATGCTTGTTTGTGGTAGCTACTTCCCCTTCCCATATTTCAGCCAAGTCTTCCTCATTTACCTGAAAGTTATTGCTAGTATTAGAATAGCAACACCGTGTGCAATCTATATGTAGAATCAAGACAAGTGATTACATCTTGCTCTTAAAATTATAGCCCAACAAACTATATTATATTAAAGAATAGAGAGAACTTAATAAAATCAATAAATTTATAGGAATATTATACTCATCCCCTTCAGTTAAAACTAAATCAAACCTTGTGCTGTCGCCTTTTTTTGTGCAGTTTTCAAACTTGTTTATTAAGGTTTTAGAAGACACCACAAATCTGTAAGGTACTATTTGTAATTATCCATTTACGCTATTCCTGCAACGGACTAAGCTCTTGTTTACGTCAAGAAAAATCCTTGAGTTTTACAACCATTGATGGACTTGATTAATTAGATCTTTTTCTATCCAGAAATCTCTACTTTTTCCCACTCTTTAGTCATTATGGTCTGATAAACAGTCAAATATGGCAAAAATTTGATAATTGACGACTAAATGAGACAACTTGTTTAAACTCTACGATATAAATTTGTAATATAGGTGACATGTTTTGTACATGCATCCTATTTGATGAATCATTTGATGGCAGAGACAATGCAGATGTAAAAACCAGATACCATAAATATCAAAAGAAATATCAAAATGTATTGTTGTAAAAAAAAGGTAGTATAAGGAAATGAAAGGCATTAAACACTCACATCCAACAAAAGAAACTTGAATGAAAACAAAAAAGTATCATTCACCTAATGTAGTAGGAAAAATTTAAAACATCGTCAACAGACAACAGACAACCAAGATAAAATATCCAGAAATAGAAAACACAGTCTAGAAAATGACCTGAAACACCAGAGGTCGGCTTGTTTTTCCAGGCATTTCATCATTACATTGTTCAATCAGACAAAAGGAATTTGTAGATAAAATTTGTTTTACAAAATGATTAAGGAGAAGGATCCATCTAAGAATAATTCAGAATCCTGTTTCTGTATATTACTTAACCAGCATAAAACAAATAAAACAGTAAGAGCTCTGTGCAGCTAACCCGGATATATGGGAAGTAAATGTCCTTCAACTTGCACTGCAGATGTTTTACATCATGAGTTTCCATTTTAGGGTAAAAAAATTTCAACCTGATAGCAAGTATAATGACATCATTGACTGTCAAACTTCAATTCTAACCGAACAAGCTTAAAAAACAAATGTTATCAGAAACACAACAAAACAAAATTGAACGAATAAATAGGGATACCATTGGGAAGGGAAAGGGTCAGGCCAACACGGAGAGGGTTTCTAGCATCAACTTTGAAACGCGAAGAATAATAAAAGCATCTCTTGCAAGATTTAACCTTGCTCCCAATTTCATTACCAGTAGCTTCTGCAATGTCCGTACTCTTCGTCGTGACGAATGACTCACTCTTCCATTGCTTTGGTTCACATTATTGCAACTCGTCCGGTTTTGTATTGATATCAGCCGGTACTGATTTCGTGATTAGAGAATCAGCCATTCGCGCATGTGAGCTTAATGGGGTGTTGGGATGAGGAGATTGCTCATGAGGCTCGACAAAATTGGCCAAAAGCAAAGCACATGTGAGGTTATAGTTCAACTATTTTTAGCTCGAGAACAAAAGTATAAAACCAAATTTCACCAAATACCAAAAGTTCCACGACCAAAATACTCACAACTCCAACCAAACCCATATCACTCTTAGTATTTGAGAAAAAAAAAAAAAAAA